GGGGGAGGGCAGGGGGAGAGAAGACGGGACATGGGAGAAGGGTGTCCGGGGAGACTGAAGGGCAGGAGAAATGACGGGAGAGAGGGATGGGGGCCAGCGATACGAATGGGAGCAAGGAGGGGAAAAGGCGGGGGAGCCAGTGGTGAACGAGTATGGTACGCGTTTAAAGGAGGGAGAGGCGGGGATGGTAGGGGTGGTGGGGGTAGTAGGGGTAGTCGTGGCGGCCGGAGATGTACTACGTCGTTAGCGGCACAGGAAAGAGAGAGAAGGCAGATAGCGGCGCCCCGTGTATGACTGCCGACTCCCCAGCCAGCTGTCTCTCAGAGGTCGCATGAGGCTGGCGCACGAGCGCTTTTCTTCTCCACGTTCATGACACATCCCGGAGTTTGTGTGACTCCCGTTCTTTTCCCACCCACCCCAACAAAAACAACAACACTAACCAAACGAAATACAAAACAAAAATAAACTGTATATGTCTCGAGTCGACACTTGAAACCTATACACACGAAGTTCGTGGAGGCTCCGTATAAACACGCAGTTCCCGGGGGCTCGGTACAAACACGGAGTTCAGCAGGCCGCCGTATAGCGTCGTAACAATGTTTTTTGAAAATTTCGAGTTATGAAGTGCGTCGGATAGAGGAAACCAAGGGCTATCGATCAGCGAAAACCGCATTTTGATATGTCAATTAGTTTAAAAGTAATTCTGGTCTGAAAATCCAGCCGCCCATAAGGCGCAATGTAAATCCAAAACTTTGAAGCGCGATATCTCAGAAGTGACTTTCAAGCACTTACGACGTTATACGGGGACCCGTTGAACTGCGTGTCTGTACGGAGCTGCCTGGAACTATCGGTTTATACGGAGACCCCACGAACTCCGTGCTTGTAGGTTTCAAGTGTCGGAGTGACACATAACATGATCTGTTTTTTCACAACTTTCAAAATTTCAACACCATGATGTGTTTCCTCCGAACATACAAAAATTAAGTGATAAGATAAGTCGGCTTCATTTGATTTTTATTTTTTTCCTACGAGCCTCCCACTCTGCCCCTGTCCCTCCTGCTGGTACCATTATCCTCTTCCGTCCCGGGCGCCGCGGTCCGGTCTCTGCCATTAGCGACATGAATCTGAGCCAAGCGATTAGATTTGTGCTGCCTGACCAACTTGCTGACCCCATAAGCCACCGCATTAAACCTCCGCCATTTCACCTCTGCGTTTATCTTCCCCCTCTTTGCCCTCCCTCCGCTCTTTTCATCCTTTTCTTCCCATCCGACCCTCTCGCCCCGTTCCTGTCTTACCTCTTTGCCCATCCACTGCAAATTCCACCCCCCTTCTCTCTCTCTCTCTCTCTCTCTCTCTCTCTCTCTCTCTCTCTCT